ATTTAGAAAGATGTTTATAATGGTAGTACGGAATGTTGGTTTGCAACCTTGCTTTTAGGTTATAATCACCTGCACAACCTTAAACCTTGACAATGTTCAGGCCCCACCCTGCAGAGATTCCTGTTCAATTAGCCTCAGGTAAAGCTCCAAGCATAAGGGTTTTTTAAAACTGTCCAGGTGATTCTAACATGCAGCCAAAGTTGCACAACCACTGCTATAGAAGCCTGGAAGGGAACAAGCCTGCATTATGCTAAGTGAGACATAAGTAACTAAACTACTAGTACCAGAGGAAACTACATGCAGGAACATTGTATGGTTGGGTTTACCACGACTTATTCAAAACAGTGAATATAATAAAGCCGGTGTCTCTAGGATCTAGCCACAGGGCTCCACCATGTGGATAAACTGTGTTGTATCAAACCAACTGATGGCTTTTTTCCCTTCTGATACTGTTTGCTGTGAACATGAGGATATTAATAGAAATAAATATAACAGCCAAAAATAGTGCACTGATTACAAGAAAAATATTTATTGACAACTGAAAAGATTTAAAACTTACTTTATTCAAATCTGATATAATACTTTACATATATTTATACTTTTTCCTTGGCACAACATTTATGAAGAAGGTGTTTATTTGCATTTATTAAGTCTAAAATTATTAAATAGTAAAATTATCACATTTGATTTTGGGTAAAACATAAAGAGTTCTGCTTTGAGGACTTGAAATGCAAAACATTTATAATTGCTTTATATCTCTATAGGAGTCCTTGAAAGTAGCTTCATAATTATACCATTCTTATTTTTGGGATATATACTGAAATAATTCAGGTAGAAATTTTAAATTGATTAGAAAAAGAGCACAATAAATTGATTAATTTTTATGACTGTAGAAGTTTCTCATCTTATTTAACTACTCATATAATTCTCTTCAAAAGCTTGGAATGTGTTATTCTTAATGGCAAAATAAAACATATTCATAGTCTGTAAACTTTCATACATGATTGGATATTGTAACTAATCGATATCTCTTCAAGCAATATCTGAAAATGAGATTATTAAACTAGTGAAATTAACATTGCATTTCTAATTCTTCAGCCTCCAAACAATCTGCTCAATAAGCACTTTTTCAGTTCATAATTAGGTTGTACTTTTCATCTAAAAGGTTTGAAATAAGTTTAAATTTCAGTTCTATAATCTGATTTAATATATCAATCCAAAGATTTATATTTTACTTTAAAAAGTGTCTTTGTTCTGGAAGAACCATAATCCCCTTCACTGAAATGTATGAAAATCTATTAAAGAAAAAAAAGACATCATAAAAATGAGAATAGATAAGAATATTGCCTCACTTACTGTAATGATGTCCTGTTGACAGAACAGTCTTTTCTAGATATAGGACAGTAGTTAACTTGAAAAATACTTTCAGAATATCTGCCAAATGTAAGGTACTATGTGAGCATAATAGGTGACAGATGTCTAAAGACAGCCTCCCCACTTTAAGGGACTTTAAGTCTTTGTGGGGAGGTAAAGATAGTAAAACTTTAAAAATTCAAATAAGGCACCACAGGTTACACTTAGTGGCCCAAGTGAAGCAAAGTAAGTGCACTGAAGAAAAAAGAGCACAGTGAGCTGGAATATTGGGAGCAGTAACAGAGGTAATAGTATTCAAGCTAAATGGACCTCAAAGAAATCTGTATAGGCAGGAAAAGTTTAGGGCATTGCAGTCAGTAATGGTGACAAGAGCAAAAACTGAGAAATAGAGTGCAGTTTGCAGACCAGCAGCACCCCTACTTGGGAGTATGTTAGAAATGAAGGATCTTGGTCTTGGCTCACTGAATCGAATTTTGCATTTTAACAAGAACCTTAGGAGATTTGTACTTACACTAAATATTTTAAAGCACTCTCTTAGACTCTATCAGTCAGCAACATTTTTCTCTGTAAAGGGCAGAAAATAAATTTTTTTGGCTTTACTATGCATAGGTCTCTGTCTCAGCTCCTTAGTTCTGCTACTTGCATAAAGCAGCCACAATAGTTAAATGAAGATAACAATAGTTAAATGAATGACCATTGGCTGAGTTCCAATAAAACTTTGTTATTATGATGGCTAATTTTATTTGTCAATATGTTGAGGGCCAGGAGTACCCAAGTATTTGTTTGAACATTGTTCTAGGTGTGTCGGCACATTTCTGGATAACGCTTGAATTGGTAAACTGAATGAAGCAGATTGCCTCCCCCAGTGTGGCTGGGTCATATCCAATCTGTTGGAGGCCTGCAAGAAATAAAAGGAGGGATAAATGTGAATTCACTTTTTTTGACTCTCTCCTTTCTATTCTCTAACTAGGGCATTGATCTGCACTCAGAATGGAACTTACACCATTTCTCTTGGTTCTCCCGTTTGCCTCCATAATTGCATGAGCAAATTTCTTATAATAAGTAATAAGTTATAAGATTATATAGGTTCTGTTTCTTTGAAAACTCTTTACTAATAGTTATGGACATCAGAATTTGAATTTCATATAATTTTCATGTGTCATGAAATACTATTATTTTGATTTTTTTCAACTATTAGCATTAAAAACTATTCTTAGCTTGCAGACTATAGAGAAACAGACATTGGCTGCATTTGGCCTCTTAGCCATAGTTTACTCACTCCTGTCTTAGGACATCAAGCAGTCAATAGAGATCCTGAAACCAGCCTTTCATTTACTTTTATCACCTAAATTCTAGATTCTACAACAATAGAATAACTAAAGAGGTTGGTAATTTTTATTACTCTATAAACAAAACTATTTAAATCTGTGGGAGAATACATTTTTCTTCATCTTTTTTAGCCAGGGAGAATAATTTTTTTCAAATGGTTATTAAATTTCACCATGGTCATGGTATATATGTACAAACATAAGGCAAACAGATGATTAAGCATCTTCCATTCTTTTCTCTCACGAAGATAACCTGGAATAGAAGTATGGTTTCCTTCAGTAAACAGAAGAGGTGAGATTCTCCATGATAAGGACACTTCATTCTCCCCATCACCAGAGATGTAAAAATTAACTGCACTGACTCAACTGGAACAGTAGTTCTCAAAGTGTGATCCAAGTCCCTAGAATCAGCTGGGAAGTAGTTAGAAGTGCTACTTCTTTGGGTTTTGGGTTGAGGAGTGGAAGGGAATTTGACCATGAATTAGTAATTGTAATACACTTCTCTCTAGACTATATGTCTGAACTTTTCCATAAAAAAATAGAATAAAATAAAATGGAGAGAAACACCGACTTTTTAGTTGAAACTAGAAATGAAAATAGGTGAAGGCACCAAGTTCCAAGTCCACAGTCTGCCTTCCACTGTAGAAATAGCACAAGATACAAACTTGTGCTCAACAGGCTGAGCAGGGAATGCCACTCAGACAGATTGACTAAGGTGGCATCCAGCCTGCTCACTTCAGTAAGAAATCATACAGGATTCTTATATTAGGGCACCAGCAATAACTTTATTCTTCAGGTAGTTGATTTGGTCAGTGTTAATTTTCATAGATTAAGACTTATTAAAGGTTTAAAAAACACTAGGTATACCAGGAACACCAGGATTTTCAAATTTGTCTTCCTAAATGAACTGTGACACGCATCAGTATTTCTTCAGATCCCTGGGGAAATCATATTCTGCCATCTCCCCAAATGCCCATTTTTATTTCCCTTTACATAAAATGAAAGTTGTCAAGTGCCTTTGAAAAAAAAGAAAAGAAATTGCAAGGTATATATAATTATCATGGGTCTAAGATTTTATACATACACTCATTTATCTGAATCACTTCTTTTCCCATCTTTTTTAACTGTTCTTTTTGATTTCTTCCCCATTATACAATTTTTTGTGTAGATTGTAGGGTACTCAGAATCCACTGGCCTCTTAACTTGCTGTGTCCTTCCTTAACATCACATTTTCTCCTTCTTTCCCTTTTCTCAGCTAATTTACTAGTCTAAGTTACCAACACATGTTCAAGAAGTGTGTGGGTCACCAAAATTATAAACTATAAATGGTTTGAAAAATTCAAATAACTTCGGCAAACTCTGTCCTCAATTGCACCAACCAAAATGAAACAAAAAAAATTAGAAAAAGCTCTCCCTTTTTTACCTCCAAAAACATTTTCATAAAAAGCACAGATATCCTGCTATCTCTTTTTAGCTGTGTGACCTTTTCAAGACCCAGACTCTCTGTGCCTCATCATTTTTATCTCCTTTTTTTAATCTTTCTAACAGGAGAATATAGTATGACTAAATGAGATAAATATTAAAACCAATAAGGGCTTTGACATCAATGCAAATTCTGTTAACACAAATACAAATTTGAAAGTACTAGTAATAAAAATTGCCCTTGGGCAATAACAGAGATGGGATTCTCCAGCAAACTCACCGTACATTGTCGGCTCGGTAATGGAAATACGGAAGGAGGACCGGCTAGTTAGCAATACAGGAGAAGGGAAAAGGCACATAAAAAGAACAGACTAGGTCACGTTAGTGGCAGAACAATAAGGAACAGTTCACATTCAACCATGTTCCATCCTCTCTGAGGCCAAAATTTTTGTTAAGTGCACCAGGAACCTTCTTTAAGAGAGCCAGGAATACTTCTGCCGTAGGACCTCGACTGTTCTATCCGCCCCAGATCCCCTCACGTGACCGATGGCCTACTTCCTCAAATGCTTCAGGTGTTTGCTCAAATATCATCTCCTTGAAGACTACTCTGAACACCCTGTTTAAAAGTTGACACCCTCCCAAGTGCTTTCCCCACCTGACTACCCGCCGCGAACTGTCCATGTACTCTCAATTTACGTTCCTTTCGGACAACCCTGGCTCTTTTCCTTTAAATCTTGTCGGAAGGTGCGGGGTTACGGGCAGGGCTCGCAGAAAGGAGGAGCTTATAGTAGGCTCCGCCCGCTTGCGTAGCTGGCGGCGGTCAGACAACGCAGGAGACAGGCTACTTCGCTCAGGAAACGCGCATGCGTGCGGAACTATCACGTGTTCTGATGTCAGCGCGCCTGCGTTCGCCGGACTGATACTCTCAGCTTTCGCGGGATCTTGGTGAAGTCTTAAGTGTTTTACGCCACAGATCGTGGAGTTTAGGGTCATTTTTCTCCAGGTTCCGTGGGTCTGGTTTTGGACTTCACGATGTACCACAACAGTAGCCAGAAGCGGCATTGGACGTTCTCAAGTGAGGAGCAGCTGGCACGACTGCGGGCCGACGCCAACCGTAAATTCAAATGCAAAGCGGTAGCGAACGGGAAGGTGAGCGCTGCTGGCGGCCGTTCCCCGGACCCGGCCTCTAAGCTTGCGCAGCTGCTAGGTTCTCCGGCCCCGGATGCTTCCCGCACACCTGCCTTCCTCCCGCCGCTGCCCCCGCGGCGCGTAATGCGGGATCTATTCAATAAACGGGCAAGCACGTTGCCTGATGCTGAGTACAGAGGCTAACAACGCCGTACTCGCACCTTCCAGCAACATGGCGGAAAGACTTTTAAGATGCTAGGGTAGTGCGGGACGAGAGCCATTGCATTTGTCAAGAGGGGATGTTGGGGAAGACTTTCCGGTAGCGGATGCGGAGAGGATAAGGAAAGGGACAGGAGAGGCGGACAGAGCCACAGGTGCAGAGTGGGAGATTGGAAGGTGTGGGGCGGGGCCGCGGGATGCTCAGCATCTTGGGTGGTGGAAGCTGAGTGAAACGTTGGGGAAGGTACACAGAAACTTGTAAGCAGAAAGAGTTTTACGATGATGAGATGGGGATCTTTTGAAAGATTTTGAACGGGAGATTAACATTATATTCTGTTACAGAAATGTTGAGTGGATTGTATAGGGCAGGGTGAAGGCAGGGATAGAGGAGACCTTCAGCACAAACTAATTTGACTGAAGATTGTTTTGACTATGGCCTGCCAGCCAAGTCCTTCCTGTTACAGCTCCCATTTCATCTGTTTACTCTTTTCTCAGACTCCTACCCATTCTTATCACAAGCTTCCTTCCAGCAAGTATTCGATGTCTAAGATAACTCCTGTGTTTCATAATCACTTAATTTTTGTGTGTGCTGGACAAAGTAGTACATATATTGTTTGTTTGCCAGGCACTTTTCTAAGTATTTAGCAGTGTTAGCTCATTAATCCTCATAAAATACCCCATGACGTAGATACCATTAATATACTTGCTCTACAGCTGAGGATACCGAGGTATGCAGAGATTGAATAACTTTTCAAGGATACATTGCTAATAAGGGACAGAGCTAGGGTTTGAACGCAAAGAATCTAGTCTCCGGAATTTAAACCACAATGCTATGCTGTCTCTATAAAAATAGCACCTGTATTAGTTTTCTAGGGCTGCCATAAAAAATTTACCACAAACAGGTGGATTAAAACAATAGAGTTTACCTCACAGTTCTGGAGGCTAGAAATCTGAGATTAAGGTGTTGGCTGATCTGTGCTCTGTGCAGCCTCCAGGGGAGGCCCCTTCCTTTCCTCTTCCCTTATGGTGACCCCAAGGGGTTCCTTTGCTTGTGGCAGCATAACACCCATCTTTGCATAGTGTTCTCCCTGTGTCTCTGTATCTCCCTGTGTCTCTGTGTCCCTGTGTCTCTGTATCTTCACTTGTTCTTCTTACAAGGACACTGCTCATATTGGATTAGGAGCCTACTCTACTCCAGTATTACCTCATTTTAACTAATGTCTACAGAGACCCTGTTTCCAAGTAAGTTAACATTCTGGTGTACTGGGGTTTAGGACTCCAACATAATGTTTATTGGTGGTTGTAATTAAACCAGTAACATCTAACAGATATTGCTGTAACCAGTAGTACTTATTTACCTTTAGTGTATTATGTGAAGCATTTTCAAAGATGGGTAAGATATTTTAAGGCTCAGAATTATCCTTGAGACACTTTGTGATTTTTACCACAACCTGTATAACTTACTGACTGAGAAATGGATATTGGAAGCCAACCATTGACCATGTATATCTTCTTTTTGATTTATAAATAATGACATCAAACCTGAACATACACAAACACTCCATCGTGATTGCTTAAACCTTAATGAAGCATATGTCCAACTGACATTCTGAGAAATTAAGTGATGATGTAGTTTCAGTTTATCAAATATTTTCCTAAAGCTATTTTGCATAATAATTATCAATTTGATAGAGAAAATGAGGTGTATATTTCTCTTTGGTTGAAGTTATAAACTAAAGTTAGTCTGCACAAAGAAAAATTATCTAAGATGACTTAATTCACTGAACTTTTATGTTAACATTTGAGCTAAAGGTTCTTCCAAATGATCCAATCTTTCTGGAGCCTCATGAAGAAATGATGCTGTGCAAATACTATGAGAAAAGACTGTTGGAATTCTGTTCGGTGTTTAAGCCAGCAATGCCAAGGTCTGTTGTGGTAAGTTGTGGTAGTGATGAGTATAATGTCCTTTAACTGACTTCTGAAATCTGACTTCTTCTAAATTTGTAACTCAGATCTCTAATCACTTGACTCAAAAATGCACCTTAGTTATATAAATATGTAATTTATACTTTTGAGTTTTTGTCATATATTTTTTAATAAATCCCTTAAATTGTGAATTCCTATATCATATCTTACGAAGTGTTTCAAGTCTCATTTCATAATCAAGAGCATTTGAGGTCTGCTAGACAGGTCCTTTCATCCTCATTTTATAGAGAAAGAAAAAATTAAATGACCCTCCGTGTTCTCTACTAATGACGTAGAACTGGGTCCAGAACACAGACTTACACTTTTTCTACTCTTATCACACACAGTGTTTGCTCTAATGCATTCATGCATCATTTCTAATCATATGCTCCAGCTGAAACTCATGCTGTAAGAAATTTTTGAACCTTGATTAGTATAAGCTGGAGATTCATCTTTGGGTAAAAAATTGTCTTGTGGTTATTTTAGGTTTATAGTTCCGAGGATGGCATTTGTGTGTGTGTTGTTTACTGAGGTGGGGCAGTGGAGAGGGTAAACAGGTAGAAATTTTTGGCTGCATGGATTTACACTGTCACTGTTCTTATTGTGTGTATTCTTGTTTATAGAAAATGAGCTGAGATTAAAAAGCTGAAAGATATAAAAAGGGGAAGGATTATAAGATTTTTTCCCCATATTACGTTTGTTGTGAAGATCAAATATGAAAGTCTGTCTTAATTGAAAGTCTGTCTTGAATTTTAAAGTTATTTAGGATAAATAACTTATAACCCAGTAGAGAATATCATCTAGGAAATGATCTCTATTTTTATAGTTGAAAAAAATTGGAGTATATTGAAAATACCAGGTCTGAAGTATTCATAGTGTTTTTTCAGTCTACAGACCTTAATCAGATCAAAAAATTGATGAAGAATTTTAGATATGCCTTATTAGTTTCTGTCTCCAGATATGGTTCTATTTTCTGATTTAAAAAAAACTATAACATGAGGTAATAGGTTTAAGTGATGAAGGTGAAGACACTGGATCATTGAACTGTTCTGTGGAATTTGTCTTCATACAGCAAGCTTATTCGTGATGGAGAGTTTTATTTCACATAAAATGACAAAACTAAACTTTTAAAATATTTAAAAGAAAATATTCTGTTTTTCTATAATAGAATATATTAATATTTATTTCACTGGTTCCAGCCAAATGAAGTTGTTAAAAGTACAGGCAAGTCTTAGTTGAATGCAGCCCCATCCCTTAATAGTTATGTGCCCTTGAACAAGACAGTTAACCTCACAGATACTCGTTTCCTCTTGTGAAGTGGAGATAATAGTACTTCACAAGCTGTTGTAAGGATTAAAATTAGATGGTAGTCTTGTGCTTGGTACAGGATATGGCACATGAGGTGCAGTCAGTGAATGATGGCTGCTGCTTCTGATGTTTAATTTGGCAGCCGTGGTTAGGGTATATCACAGATAAGGAGTAGGTTTAGAGAGAAGGCTTATTGCCCCAACTGCAGCATTCTGTCAGATGTATTTTACAACACCGACTAGCTTTGGACATGTGTATGTTTCTCTTTGAATTTTTAAAATTTGGGCCACTTTTGTTATTCTGAGTTCTAAAATACACACACACACACACATGCATGCATGCACACGTGCACGCGCACACACACACAACTTTTTAAAATTAAGCTAATGTTCATAGGAAGGATAACCCAGAGGGGGTGGGGAAGAACAGAGGGTCTTGTGGCTGTGACATTTCCATAGTAACACATCACTATTTTGATTAAAGAAGATGTGACAAGTTTTGGTGTTTTTGTATAGGTAGCTTATTCAAAAAAACCTTTAAAAAAGTTTTGTTTTTCTTTTTTTCTCAAAATCTAACATGTCATGTATGTGTGAATAGATTCTGATATATGTATTTTTAACCTTTAGGGTACAGCTTGTATGTATTTCAAGCGTTTTTATCTTAATAACTCAGTAATGGAATATCCCCCCCGGATAATAATGTGAGTATAAATCTCTCTAATGTATTGATTTTCATTCAAGGCCTTTCCACAATTTGAGCATGTGTGTGAAAAAATGATCCCCCAATACAGGGTAATTTAGACTTCCATTCTCTTCTGAACTTAAGATCCCTCCTTATACTCCACTCCTTAGGTATTTATAGTACTTCCTATAATACTGCTGACATCTGAACTTCAATTGAACTTGTTCAAATTCAGAATCTGGTTTTCTCAAACTAGTTCCATAATACCCTTTCTGTTACTGGCACCTTTTTCCTTCCAGTTGCTCCGTATGATGATTTGTGGTAACTACCTCACTTTTACACCCAGTCAGTTGACACGTCTTCCAACTCCATGTTCATTTCAGTTGGACAAAGGTCTGTTCCTTTTTTGCTCTCTGCTAAGCACTGTGCTTCTCACTAAAGATGGAATCAGTGTGACACTCATCAGAACGCTTACTGTCGTTCACACTGTCCATGTTTATTTCTCCTGTTTTTCATTTCCATTTCTACCAGGCTGGGTCAGGCGTTTATTACTTCTAATTTTGATTTTTGCGGTAATTTTATTACTAGTTTCCCACCGAAATTTATGGTAGTAGCCATGAGCATTTCATAGGTTTGTTACTGAGGTAATCCTCTGAATATACTTGGAGACTTGACCTGGTGGCTTTCCACTATATTCCTTCAACCTACCTTTCTTCCCATGCTCATATGGTACATATGTGTGTATTTTTTTCTCTTCTATTTACATTTCATGAAGTACAGAGTACTCTTATTCCTCAGTTATTTTGTTTTTCAAGATATTTAGGATGAACTGTATGAGTTTGCCCTTAGGTCAATTATGGTTGCATATTTTGGCAATATTAATGTGGTTCAACCTAATTTTATGGTCTCCTGATGGATAGAAAGTTTGAATAGGTATAAGAAACCCCCCCCTTTTTTTTTTAAGTAAATATCCTGTGATTTCTAGCATAATCAATTGTGAATATTAGATAATTTTAGGATGTACTTTTAGAAATAAATTATTTAGATTATTTAGATATTTCTCAAAGTAACACTGATATTTTTTTTTTTTTCTCTAGGCTCACTTGTGCATTTTTGGCCTGCAAAGTAGATGAATTCAATGTGTCTAGTCCACAGTTTGTTGGAAATCTACGGGAGAGCCCTCTTGGACAGGAGAAGGCACTTGAACAGATTTTGGAATATGAATTACTTCTTATACAGCAACTTAATTTCCACCTTATTGTCCACAATCCTTATAGGCCATTTGAGGGCTTTCTCATTGATTTAAAGGTAATCTTGTTGCTATAAAGTAAACTAGTAAAGTGTACTCTTTCATTATTATTCTTTAACCAGAAGCTCCAAAATTGTACTGTAGTCATCCTAATTGTTACAACATGGGCACAGCTAAAATGTGAGTTTGGCTTGGACCTCTGGGGTATTAGTTCTCCAGCTTTAGTGTGCGTCACAGTCACCTGGAGGGCTTGTTAACTCTTATCGTTGGGCTGCAGTTCCAGAGATGCTGATTTAGTAGATCTACAGATACTGGTCCAGGGATCATAATGAGGACCAGTGTAAGTTTAGAGTAATGCTTTTAAAGACTTGAGATCTTCTGACTCTGAAGTATACTGTCATAGATCTGATTTAAAGAACCATAACTTTTAAACTAGAGGATTGCTAAGTGCCTTCTATTTTTCATGCATTGTGATTTCAAATGAATATGTAGGCATAAAAAGTGAAAGTAAATAAACACTGGCAAAAGCAATTAAAATTTTCTTCTTTGGGCCCTGAAGGATTACTTGGATAGAGGGACTAAAGTAAAACAGAAACCACAAACTGGTTCATTCAGCTCAAGTGAGTGGCAAAATTTGGGTACCTTCTGTATGCCAAACATTGTGCTTGAGGATGTAGCCAGAACAAGATGGAACAGCCACAACTCTCAGTGGCCTTACAATCAAGTGGGAAAGACAATCACATATTCAGTGTGCTAAGTGTTTCAGAAGGGGAAATAAAGGATGCTTAGAAGGAGATAGCAAATTGAGAGGAAGAAATGACATTAGGAGAATGTGTCATTTAAAGTACAATTCAGAGCAAGAATAGGTAAAAGAGACCTTGGTCAGAAAGACTTACTTGGTAAAAGGACCAGAGTCAGAAAACTGGTGTGCTAAATAACCTAAACAACATAGGTATAGAGGAGAAAGACTGCACAGTGTGCTGCCTGGATGGGTGGCAGTGTCTAGACTGGAGGTGGTGGTAATAAGTTTGAATAGAGCAATGGGAAGCCAATGAAAGGTTTAAGTCTGGAAGAGTGGGATAATTAGGTTTGTAGCCTTAAAAAAAATGTTGGCAAGCTCATGCATCAGTCTACAGTGATACTTATTGCACATCTTTATGTGTCAGGCATAATGTGGAGAATGGATTAAAATGGATGAAGGGATACCAGTTAAGATGCTGTTAGAGTGGTCTGGGAAATAGGTGATTTGACTCAGGTGGTGGCATGGGTACAGAGAGAGCTTCCTGGACTTAAGAAGTAATAAGCTGAATCAGTAGATCTTAAGAATTGATTGTATATACAGAGTGAGGACAAAGGGGAAACCCCTGGTTTCCTGACCTGAGCATATAGGTAAATGGTGGTACGTTTAACTAATAGAGGAAACAATGGCACAGGAGAGATGTGATGGTGGAGGTGTGGGAGGTGGTAAATTTGGTTTTAAACATGAATTTCCACTGCCTGCAAGACATCCAGGTAGGAAGTCATTTGTGTCCATAGTCAGAGAAAATAGCTAGGCTGGAGGCATAGATCAGGGTGTCATGGCCCCTGGAAAATCTAATGTGAACTGGCCATGAGGACCATGTAAAGGACAGTTAGAGAAATAAAAGGATCTAGAGAGGAGACAGAAGAACATCCATAGGACTAGGACTTTTTGGAGAAGTGAAGGGAAGTAGATTACTTGTAGAAGATGAGCATGGGTGACTCACCAATCCTGCTTAGAATTCAGGCAAAGTAAAAGTAGATGGAGAATACTTGCTAGATTTAGTGCCAGAAAGGTCATTTGTGATCTTGGTGAAATTAGTGTCAAGACTGGAGGAAGAAAGTAGATTGGAGCTGATTGGAGAATGAATAGAAGGTGAGAAAACAAGTATGATAACTTGGAGTAAACAGTTTGTCTTTGAAGTGGTGAAAGATGATGGGATGACTGAGAAAATGGGAAAACTACCAGAGATAGAAGAAAGGGACAGTTTAATGTTTTACTTTGTGGAAAAAAACTAATGCAGAGAACTAGTAGGGAAAGCTTAAAGAAAAAACAATGCAGCTCAAGTTTCTCTCTTTGGAGTAAGGTAGAAATGGCTGGCATGGAATTCAAAGCATGACAGAATTGGCCTCAGAATAATAGCTCTAGATAGAAAGAGGAAAGCACAGGTGAGGACAGAGTTATGCCTGGAGGTTGGTAATGGCAGTAAATAAAGGATGTCTGTCTTTTCAAGAGCAGAGATCATTTTCCGAGAGTGGAGTTTCTGAGAATTATCAAAGACATTGTGACAGGTCAAAATGTTTACAGCCATAAGAAGAAAACAAATCCTACCATTTGCAACAACATGGATAGAGCTAGAGGGTATTATGCTCAGTGAAATAAGCCAGGCAGAGAAAGACAAGTACCAAATGATTTCACTCATCTGTGGAGTATAAGAACAAAAGAAAAACTGAAGGAACAAAACAGCAGCAGAATCACAGAACCCAAGAATGGACTAACAGTTACCAAAGGGAAAGAGACTGGGGAGAATGGGAGGGGAGGGAGGGATAAGGGCAGGGAAGAAGAAAGGGGGTATTATGATTAGCATGTATAATGTGCGGGGTGGGGGAAAGGGGAGGGCTGTGCAACGCAGAGAAGACAAGTAGTGATTCTACAACATCTTACTGTGCTGATGGACAGTGACATAATGGGGTTTGTGGGGGGGACTTGGGGTAAGGGAGAGACTAGTAAACATAATGTTCTTCAAAAAAATAAAAAGAAAAAAAAACTGAGGAAACAAAAGCCTCCAGACTTTATATATAAAAAAATTTATAAAGTGGAAAAAAAAATGTTTAACATAGTCACTGAAAAACAGGAGAGCGTTTTCTCTGGAACATTATTATAGCTGGGCAGTGTAGAGAGCCCTGCTGAGGTCAGTGAACTTGAATTTATAGAAATATTACCAGATGACCTGGCTGTATTTTCTCTAGCAGTACCCAGAAGTCTGGGTATAGTTGCAAAGCAGGTTCTGTTGGCAGAAATGTGTTGGCAGCATGTTAGGGCAGGGAATTCAGTAGAGAAACGAGGACTAGTGGACACTGATGAGCACATAGAGGGATAAGGGACCAAAGGTTCTGAGGAAGTTGAAGAACAGCTGTGAAGTAATTGAGCAAATGTACAGGGAGACAGAGCACTGTGGTCAGAGTGGAATGCCTGAGTTCGTCATATTAGAGGTCAGGCATTTTAGGATAATGACAAGATCTACAAGTGACTGTACAGTTGACTCTGGATATTTTGTTCAGAGTATAGAAAGGATTTCTTACTGTTTGGGATTGGATTGGGCTGTGGATATCTGGAATCTGTTTAGGTTTTAGGGTTGATCTTAATGGATGAGAAGACTTGTCAGGAAATATGGGATCTTCCATATATTTTGGGCATGTCTAAAAATAATTGGGAAATCAAACCAAGATTCATTTACATTTATTTATTCTCAGAAGTAAACTATAAGTTGAAGGAATTTCAAATAAAAAACTAAGATGGTGCTTTGGTTCCTAATGTGACCTTATATCTGGATCACCTGGATTGCCTGGGAAGCATTTACCAGGGATTAAATATTTCTTAGGTTGACTTCAGACCCAGTCGAGTCTCTAAGAGCCTTCTTTCCCCTTCTTTCTCAGGTGAAAAGGGCAAAGAGAGGGATCAACAAAAATCAGAATAGTGCAAAATACTATACTGGGAACTTTACATGTATTATCTTAGAGCATATATTTCTTACTATGGATTGTGTCCAGAAAAGTTTGAAAGCCACTGTGTAGAAGATTTCTAAAACATGCAGAATTTATTGATAGCACTTTGGCTACATTTTCATGCAGAGTACAAAACAGTCTACATGAATGATTATTTGTTGTTGCTGGGATGTTACTTCTATAAAAGAATCCTGTATTAGGCACTTCCTGGTTCATATAAAATACTTTTAAACTATGATTACTCCACTGACTCCTCACTCCTCAGAAGTGATAACATTTGTAAACTTTCTTTCTAGACTCGCTATCCCATGTTGGAGAACCCAGAGATTTTGAGGAAAACAGCTGATGACTTTCTTAATAGAATTGCATTGACAGATGCTTACCTTTTATATACACCTTCCCAAATAGCCTTGACTGCCATTTTATCCAGTGCATCCAGAGCAGAAATTACTATGGAAAGGTATTAATTTGTGTTTTAACCTAGATCAGACTCACTCACTCAGTTTATTCCTTCCTGGGGTCTGAGGTTTTAAGGTTCACTTTGTGACTATAGATCTCCTATGGTTGGGAGGTTGGTGAAGGCAAGTGAGGGAAACACATGAAACCATCTTTTAGGGAAATCTTTAAAAACTGAGTAAGATACCTTTGAGTGAAGAGGATCCACTTATGACTAAAGTAGAAGGAAATTGTGATTTTTCAAAAGACCAGTGTAGCTGTCAGTATATTGGCAAATTGAGTTTTGTGAACTGGTAAGCACCATGAGTGCAGCAAACATCTGCCTTGTTTTATTATTGTTCTGCTGTGGAGAATGTGGGGCATATAGAATCAGTAAAGATTTGCTGAACAAATATTACTTTGGGGAATGTCCAAATGAACTGCAGTTGAGCTCTAGATAGAAATAGCTGGTCCGTAATGCACACTGAAAACCAGGCTCTGTGATAAGCACTTCACATGAATTAAACTCACTTGATTCTTACAACAGTATCTTGTACACAGATAATTGAATGCTACTTTATTACCTTTTTCATTTACAGCTAAAACACATGCTAGCAGCAAATTAGGCTTTAAAATTTTTACATTTCTCTATGACTTGGAGTTTTGATTTTGTTCCTAGAAATAGCTGAGGAAGAAAGATGATAAAACTTTCTCAACTTACTGTTCTATGTGTTTATAATCCTTCATAATTTCAAAATTCACTGATATGTTGGCAGCAAGATATTAAAAACTTTTTCAGTACTACATTTGTGGTGGTGATCTGTGATCAACAATTATGACTAGCTGAAAGCTCAGATGATGGTTAGCATTTTTTAGCAATGAAATTTTTAAGGTGTTTTCCTTTTTTTAGACACAATGCCATCAATAAACTATAGTATAAACATGACTTATATGCACTGGGAAGCCAAAAATTTCATTGGAATCACTTTATTGCGGTGGTGGTCTAGAACCAGCATTGTCTTTGAGGTGTGCCTGTACTGCCCCAGCCATCACTGATGATGAAATGAACATGGAGGAAAATTATAATTTTATAATTTATGTCATATTTTCTCAAGACCCTGCATATGTTCAATAAATCAAAACTTTCCTTTCTTTACCAGTTACTTAACAGAAAGTCTGATGCTGAAAGAGAACCGAACTTGCTTGTCACAGTTACTAGAGACTATGAAAAGTAAGTAAAACAGAACACTTTATAAAATATTTTTCTATTAAAAAGCTACTTTCTAAATAAATACCATCTTGGTATAACTTGAGAAAATTTAGATTATTGATTACTTTCGTTGAATTATTATATCATGGAGGTCTGAAGGATATGTTGATGGAGAACAAATCAAAGGTACATGAGAGGAAGTAGTTTTCACACACATAAAATTTACCAAGAAAATGAAAATACCAGATTCGGAAAGGGCTGACATCAAAGCCGGGTCCCTTTGAAGTGTAGACAGATACATGATAGGAACAGGAAAGGTCTAAAGGGCAATATTTAAATTGGAGCTTCTATTTTGGAGATGAATCAGCTTTAACTAGTTAATAAGTCATGTGCTAGTCATTTTATTAGTTGATACTACAAAAGGCATGGTTATCAATGGGGTGTGATTTCTGCAGTACCTGGAGAAATTTTTGGATGCCACAAGTCTTGGGGTGGTAGTGGCTGCTACCAGCATCTCATGGTTGGGGGTAAGAAGGCCACTGAACACAAAATTCATAGTTTATCCCCTTGGTAGGCTGAAATATGGCTCCCCGAAAGATAACCATGTCCTAATCCCTGTAACCTGTCTGTGACTATTACCTTGCATGGCCAAAAAAATAAAAGTCTTTACAGATGTGATAAAGTTAAGGATCTTAAAGTGGGAACATTATCTTGAATTATCCAGGTAGGGCCTGAATGCAATCACAAGAGTACTTATTAGAGAAAGGCAGAGGGAGGTTTGGTACAGAGAAGGCAATGTGAAGACAGAGCAGAAAGAGATGTGAAGATGCTGGCCTTGAAAATTAGAGTGATAGGGCCACAAGCCAAGGAAATGCTGGCCGCCACCAGCAGCTGGAACCAGGGCAGGAATGGGTTTCCCCCAGAGCTGCCAGAGAGAATGGCCCTGCCAGCACTTTGATTTTGGCCAGGTGAGTCTGATTTCAGACTCCTGGGCTTTGGAACTGTAAGATTATCCATTTCTGTTGTTTTAGCAAAGCCTTACTAAGTGTGTGTTCGTATTTAGTAGCAGCCTCAAGAAATTTAATGCTCATTCACAACAAAGAATAATCCAGCCCAAACTGTCAACACTGGCATCTCTGAGAGACCCTGTTTTAGTGGTTGAGTAGAAATCTTCACTTAACTGATTGTATAGATTAGCCAGCCCTCACCATTCTTCACTCGTTCCTTCTTATCCATGTCACACTAAACGCTCACGACTACTAGAGTTCTTATCAGAATTAAAAGTCGATCGTGTTTTCCCTAAAAATTCTTATGCCAGTTGCCCTTGTTAGTTAAATTTGTGGTTTAAATATTGAATAGACCAATAGAATAAGAGATTGAAGATCTTGTGCTTGGATGATAGTAGTAAATAGGTATGCTTTTTATGTTTTAGTTTTAAAAGCTAACATAATTCAGGTATCATTTCTTGATTCTCTGACTGAAATGATCTTGAGGGCTTCTCTTTGAGAATGATGATTTGTGATTTATGAAATCATAGAACTGCAGGTCTAAAGTTACACCACTAGAGGGTACACTTCCAAAGCTAATTGCATTTTGGCTGTAGATATTTAAGGTGGTGGCATTTAATAGTTAGAAGGAGCCTTAAAGATAGCTGACTGCTCATATTATAGCTGACAGTTGTTACTGATTTCTTCTCAGTGCCATTACTTCACTTATTTTAATACAAAATAAAAATAGCTCTTGATACTCAGAACTTTAATGATCTTAAGGTATATTATCCATAATTACTTGGAACAAAGCTATTGTCCTAAGGGTGTTGTGGAGTCACAAGTATTAATTCAGTTGAAAACACTGCTTTATTTGCATTATATAATAAGGCTGTAGCGTAGTCACCCATTTGGAGCATGTGGCGGCTAATAAGCGATGGTTATCTCATTATTCCTGTAATAAATCTTGAGATTTATATTCTTTAGTTTATTGTAGTTTAGTAACACAGACATACCAGGTGGAGAATTTTTCTGTAATTATAAAGTCCCTGATGTAATGGTTTGCTTTTAGTCTAAAGAGGACATTTTGTTCTTGGTGATGCTTCATTGTATAGGTTCTGCATTTTGTTAAAGCAAAGGACCATTGACATATTTTTACTAAGCATCCTCCCTTTATTACCTATTATGTAATGATTTCCTTTATAAGCAAAATGTACACTCTTGGCCTGCCAGCTAGCTATAGGCTAGAATGTTGTGAATATGGTTGGTTTATAGCCTTCTAACAAGTAAAAAGTGACTATGGTAGGACTTAACTGACAGGATTGTACCAGCCTGCTTATCTTTATGCTGTACGTGTATTGGCCAAGCTGCAGACAACTCTCCCAACCTGAACTACAAGTATGGTGTTCACTGGATTTTAATGTAGAAAAATCCTATTAATAATAATCACATTCCAAGAATCTGTTATTACCGGTCATATAATAAGATGGGAAAATATTATTCAACTCTCTTATGAGAACAAGACTTTTTATTTAGTATAAATCCTTCTTTTATTTCCACATAGGTATGAGAAACTTGGTAAAAAAATATGAACCACCAAGATCTGAAGAAGTTGCTGTTCTAAAACAGAAGTTGGAGAGATGTCACTCTGCTGAGCTTGCCCTTAACATAATCACGTAAGTAGATGTGACGGTGTTATATTCAAGGATAGATGTGTTATTGGGTCCAACTGGTCCGTAAAGTAAATCACTTAATTGGTAAATGTTTGCACACTTGGGATAACTGACATCCAACTGGGTTTTTTTGAGTGGACATTTCTGACAGGATTAAACATGAATAGTTTGGCTTTTATAGTAAAGTTTGTACCTGCGTGACTAATGTGTTTTCACTTGCAGGCTCTGTCCCGTTCTTATTTTTTGGGATCCCACAGGAGCCTTCCTAGGGAATCCCTGAACTTCTTAGCTTTTAAATCTTTGGGTTCTTTGTAGGTCTGATATTTTATCTGAGGAACAAGCAAGTATACTGTTCAAGTTAGCTAGAGTAGGGAAACTTGGCATATTTTCTTTCCGTGGTAAACTATATTGAAAACGGAACCAGAAGAAAAATACGCTGTTAGAACTCCTTTTGCAGCCATGAGGAACACCTATCATGTCTCTTACTGATTTGTAGGCTGGATGTGTAAATCACCATACTCAAGCTCTTTATGCTTTGCAAATTGAGAATCTACTTAAACAGTTGGGGATATGGGCAAGTAATAGGAATGGTAAAACTATTTGTTTTCTATTTTTCTGTGGAATGCATTCCAATTCAGAAATTCTACTTCATTTGTAAACATTAGTGGGAGTTAGCTCTGGCATCTTACTGTTAAGATGCATTTGAAATGTTTTTGATCTCTGTAATTGGTGAGTGTATGCTATTAGATAATATGTGAGAAGTCAGAACAGCACCCCAAGGCCTTCAGATCAGGTACACAGGACTCAAATTCTTCAACTATATAGTTGTAGTAGGAGACTATCCAAGGACTTATGCAGTATGTAGAACATGGGAGTTTAAAAATTAAAGCTGTAACTGCAAAGCATACCTTATATAGAACTGAAAATTGGTAGATTTCACTCCTGGGTTTCAGTGGTAACTGAGGAATGAAGGAATGGTTATAGAGAAATAAATGTTGACTTGAATAAATGAAGTATTGTCGTACTAATTATGTTTCTTCACATTGATTTGGAAATTGGCTTAGACTCAGAGTTGACAAACTGAACTGTAGGCCAAATTGGGGCCACTGCGCATTTTTAGAAAGTTTTACTAGAACACCCACTGTTTGACATATTGTCTGTGAATGTTTTCACACTACAGTTGAAGAGTTTGGTAGCTGTGACAGAAACTGTATGGCCTCAAGGTATAAAATATTTACTATCTGGCCCTTAAAAGGAAAATTTAGCAGCCTCCAGATTAGACCCTTCTAGATATGTAACTGAATGGGCCATATCCCTAATTGCCAGAGTTTATATCTTCAAGTTACTGTCATTTTTGTAGGGTGCCAAGCAAATTCTGTTTCTCTGAGTACTTGAGAGATGCTTCTCAATGTGTAAAGGACTGTTTTTTCTTAAGCTGCATTACAGACATGCTTTTGTAAAATAAAATAAACATTACGAGGAAAATGAAATAAAATAGACAAAACAGAAGTGTAAAGTTTTTAGATTCAACAGTCAAAATTAATCAGATTGCTATAAAAGTTTCTAAACAATCTCTGTACTTGGGTCTTTGCATGCTGGAAATAGTTCATAGACTAGCAGGTCCATGGACCACACTTACAAGCACTACTTTAGGATATTTGTTTTCCTTGGTCTGTAAAATTCTTCTGTCTTTCTTTTTTATCACACAATAATAAACTATATTATTGTTGTTTAAGTCAGTCAGTGCAGGTAAACCAAAATCCCTTTGATCAAAACCCAAATCCCAGTTGAGAACTTAAAATAGTTGGTATTTCTCATTGCCAACATTCCTCTGCATAAGTGTTGTGTATGAAACCAAGTTTGGTTTTTTTCATTAATGTTTTCATATATATTGTACAACACTAATAGTGTCAATCTTTAACTTTTCCCTGTCCAGGTGAGAAAATAACATCACACTGATATTTTAATTTGCATTTCTCCTATTCTGAGGCATTGATGTTTCTATGTTTAAGTGATCTGCATTTTTTCTGTATTGCTTCCTAAGAACACTTATCCAATTTTCTGACATCTTCTTGATTTGTAGTTCCTTATATTTTTTTTAGTCATCTTTGTATATGTATCAGATATCTTCTTCCATATCTTTCACTTTGTAATACATAGGAAATTTGTCTTTCCCTGTTTCTACACCTGAATACCTTTTCTTACGTCACATTAATCTGCATTTTATTTTGCCTTCTGTTCAACTGTCAAAACCACTTAAAACTGAATGATGTGAGGTAGAAGTCTCCTATTTTTCAAATAAATAACCTGTTATGCCAGCCATCTTAAAATATTTCATAAGTTTCCCTATTTTAAAAGCTCTTTCATTACAGATTAAATTCCTGTATATACATACTTGTGTTTTGCCTACCTGCTCTGATCCCTGATCTGTTTATAATTCTTTGGTAACATACCCTTTGAATTGCCATAGCTTTTATATATATAGTATGTTTGTAGTATATTATAGATGTAAATAACTGAGACAAGGTCCCTACACTTTCTTTTCAAATCTATTTTGCTATTTTTGCATAATCTTTTCCAAGCCAGAGTTGGACTTGACAAGTTCCATTAAAATGTTTATTAGGATTTTAATTGGAATTGTATTGAATTTAAAGATCGGTTTGAAAGATACTGTCTTTCTCTTCATAATTCGTCTCTTCGCATTGACGGAGGCTTTGTTCTTCGGCAGACCTGTGATATTTCAGACAGCCTTGCTAGTTTGTTTTACAGTTTCTGTGGACAGTCTTCATTGCTTATTGATGGTTGCTTAATTACAGAAAAAAGAGGAAAGGCTATGAAGATGATGATTATGTCTCAAAGAAAGCCAAACATGAGGAGGTATGTTTTCCAAAGGTAAATTTTAAGCTATTCTTGGACATACTGGTGTGACCGTCTTGTTAAGATTTTATTATTCCAGGATGCAGGTCTTTTTGAAAGCCTTCCTTTTTTGTGTTAACATTGCCCTGTTTTGTACGTTGCTCATTATTACAGAGATTTTTCTCACTTCTCGCTCAGCCTATCCTGAAGCAATACAACCATTAATTGATGAAGAATCCTTCCTGTGGTCACAGAAAGCAGCAGGGGTATACATACAAGCTAGATTTCTGCTTTGTTTAACTCTCCAAGGATTCTTCTCCTACCCTTAAAAAAAAAAAAGTAGTACCTGGCAAATCACATGAATAAGAGGCAGAAGGTCACAGCTGTAACTTTTATTCCTGTCACTGGAGTAGTCTGGTGAGATCATGCCATATTACTCTAAGATTAAAACTACCACATGTTTAATTAATTTATTTACCTTCTATAATCAGCATTGCTAAAAGAACATTTTTTTCTAAAGAGAGGCAAAGAAGTAAACAATAGTGGCTATGCTTTAGTATAATGTTATCCTTACTGTATTTTCTTTCCTTCTCAGGAAGAATGGACTGACGATGACCTGGTAGATTCTCTATAACCGATGGAAACTGATTTGTCAATGCTGACTTAACCAACAGAAGGATGAAGTGTATTTGGCATTTAACTTTATTTAAAAATGAAATGCGAAAGCATCAAAATATATTATACTTTTCTATTTATGTTATTTAAAGTGTTTTCCTTTCAGAGTAGCTTTATATGAAATAAGATCTTCAAAGAAGTGGGAATAGCATCTGGCCCCCAATGACTAATATTAAATTTGTCTTTCTATAGTAGTCAGTCAAATTTAAGCTGTTACTTATTGGCCTATATTGCTTTAAACAAAATGCATCAAAAGCAAACCTATCCATTTTAGGAAAAGGCACCACAAAACTTAGTTTTTAACCTGCTAAGGAAATGTTTTTTTGTCCTGCAGAAACGTTCATAAATGTCATTCTGATGTATTTAGCTGTTAGTGTGTTACTGCTCAGCTACAGAAAACTAGTCACCCATGAATAATGTATTTTCTTCAGTTATCTGAAAACATTTCCAAATGGATTTTTAAAAAAAGAAAAATCAATATGCATTCTTGAGTAATTAGATAAGTAGGTTTTAGCAAATTATATATTGTATAATAATTAACCTATTAGATTACATAAATGAATCCATATAAATAGATATGTTCAAAAAAAATTGAAATTGAGATGAACTGATATAAAAGCAGACTGTGGGACCGAATTACATGGGTATGAATCGTGGCTGCCTCTACTTCACTTTGTGATCTTGATTAAGTTACTAATGCTCTGTGCCAGTTTCCCAAGGGGGAAAATAATGCCTACTTCTCCCAGGATTAATTAGAATAGTCCCTGCTGCATATACTAAATATTCAGTAAATGTTAGCTATTACAGTATTTGTTCAATTATTTAACTGATTTTTTTCAGTCTCTAAATTGGAATCAAATTATAAATATCTGTTGAATTTTTTTTGGAAAACTCGGTTGAAGGAATTCTGGAAAAGTCAACTGCACTGAATATAAGTTTTACAGATAACTCTTCTCAGTGCCAGTGCGTCCTATTAATATAAGGACCATTTTTTTAACATCTCAGTATTTGACAGCAATATTTACTGTATGCATATTCATATTCTTTATTGAGTTTTTGGTTTAGTTTCCTTCTAAAATTCCTGAAATGTGATTTTATGAAAGAGTGGGAAGCAGTTGGAAGTTGATGTCCTCCAGTGCAGTTCAGGTTAAGTAGAGTGCTGCTGGGCTCTACATAGAATTGCCAACTGTTCATAATTTATCTCATTTCTCTTTTAGGTCACTAAACTTTGGCATTAGAGCAAGGTCCACATTTCTCTGAAAAATTTCCTACCCAGCCCTTTAAAAAAAAGTTTTAGAGATTTTATTTCATCATTGACCAGCTAATAATTACTGCAAGGCCTAAAAAGGTAAATAACAAGTTTCCTATTCTACCTTAAAAGATAAACATATTGTCAAGATATAAAAAGAGGATGTCTTTACATTTGTGGGTTTTTGTTTTTGTTTTTTAATAACAAGAGTGAGGAGCATCTCAGCTTGAGAAATAGCCAGTAGGTCAGTATGGCTGAAGACGGAGGTGTGATTTATGGGAGAGCCAACTTGCCCAGCAGTGGAATTTGGATACTTTTGCATACTTTTGCATATTACTGACATGCTTTTAGAGATGTCACTAGTCCATATCCTTCTGGTCTACTAGCAGACACCAAGGAAGGCAACCAAATAGGATACTACTGTGGTAGTCCAGCTAAAAGGCAGGAGGGATGGATAAGAGAGGAAAGTAAGAGGATACAAAAGGATACAGACAAGAAGGGAAAAAACAGAAAAGAGTTGACATCAAGGAAAAGGAGGTGGTATTGAATGTTTTGTTATGATTATTCAACTGTGATGGCACCCATGTCGGGTGTAGCTGCCTCCACAGGAATACAGCCTTTAATTACTTAGTACTACATATTAAGTTTGGAAACCCTCCATTATTTTTGTGTGTTTTTTCGTATATTTTAAACAGCAGTGGGAGATAGTAAAGTGTTGCTCTCAGAATCTAGGCCTTGAGAAATTTTTTTCTTATGTTGGGAAAGGCTTTTCTGCCACATTTTGTATGACTTCTCTCCCCTGCACCATTATGGTTTTTAAAAAAAGACCATTAGCCAAAAATATGACTTGAAGACATCTTCTCCCTGGGCCTTGCTCTGGTTCTAAATTTGAACTGCCCTTTATAAAGGAGGGAGAAAATAATGAAATTAAATGCTTAGCTGTATTTAGACATCAGTAATTTTCAAGATATCCCTTTGTTTTATTTTAACTTAGCTCTTGTGAATACTTCACAAAAATACATATACAGAAGCAAATAAATCTATACATAACAAACAAACTAAATATCCAGCAGATACAAGTAGTCACAAGTTCAAAGATGGATAACTGTTAAGAGGCTGCTGATGAGGTTGGTTGAATAATTAAAAAAAAAAGTTCAATGTGGAATAAAAGCATTCTAGGGTTTTTTTTCCTTAAAAAAACATGTAAAAGAAATTGGTAATCTATAAAATGGATGAATGGGTAACTAACCAGTACAACGACCAATAATATTTATTGAATTCAAACTATTTACTATTGTAAACATTTAACAGAAGCATTATGAAATCTAAATACAGTCTTTGATAATTCCAACAAAATAAGTGGTATGTTTAAAAAATAAAGCTGATGAGCAATAGATCCATTCTGTATATTTTCTTTCAACAAGTTCCAGCAAGAGAGAAATAGCACAGTATTTTTAAAAAGTATACAGCAAAGATTGTTCCCGTTATAATGGCAAACTCTGGAAACTGTAAATACAAATAGTCATTGAACAGTCAATCGGTCATATTCCTAATCAGGAAGGAGTTGTTAGTTATAGAACAGTCTGCAATCCAGTTGTTTTATGCTCATTTGTCAATAGAGAATGCTTCTTCTTGTCAGTTGGGTTTAGTTTTTCCTTTCCAAGAGACAGAACACTTTGGCAATTGAATGTACTGAAAATATATTTTCCAAGTTTAGGAGTACAGTTAGAGCATTTTGTTGTGTGAAGGGGATCTGTACACCAAGGCTCAGAGGTTGGTAAAGATTGATTCCATATCTGGAAAAAGTGCAAATATCCTGCACAGATAGCTTACAAAGTTGCTGCTGGCACACTTATTCACCAGCAGAATCTTGGATTTGTTTTTTTGCATAGCTCACACATCACTGGAATGTGGAAAGGTGTGCTATTTTTTGGCAAGAGCAAAGAAGACATCATACTGATGAGATTTACCATGTAGGTCATGCTGAATCCATGCAGAACACGTGGGTGAAGGCTGCTACCTGACGTCATTTGTTTTTGTATATTGGTTTTGTTTCTGTTGAAGCAGTTCTGTTATAGCTAGAAGCTTTTTCAGTACATGCTAGATAAGGAAAAATAGTATGAACATAATTAGTAAATAAATGAAAGCCTGGTTAGAAATTTCAAGGGTAGGAACCTGGATTTGAAAAAAGTCCTATTAACTCAAAGAAATTCATAAAATATTACCATTCTACTCAAATCATAAAAATTTGTTAGTGCACAAAAATATCTCGACCAAAATATATTAAGAACCAAGTGAAGAGAAATTCATTTGTGTTTGGTGTTCTCGTAACTACTTAGGCCAGAACAATTGCTAAGACAGATCTTATGTTCTATCATTATAAATGACACATACATACACCTTATGCCTTAGAGAATCATGTAAGAAATAAAACGATATTGTGCCTAAAATTAAATCAAACAGGTCCTACATCTTTCTTGAATTTTTTTTTATTGGAGAATTTGGCCTAAATATGACAAGTAGGCCCTGTGGGATATATTCTGCCCAAGTTTCTAAACTTGGAAAAAAACCTTTTGAGGAAAACTCAGAATCACCAAACTCACTGCTTTAGTCTCTTCTAACAAATGGCTGGCCAGTGTGGTGATAGTATTCAGGAAGAGCTTACTGCAACTAGCAGTTTACAAGATCACACTCTAGAAGATTGGGAGCTTAGAATATTTTTGTGGATCACTTGGCAGTGCACTGTGTGTGTGAGAGAAACAAAAGTCACGTAACTACTGACTTACTGGCTCCCTTACTCTCTTCACACATCCTTCTGGAATTCACATTAATTTAGACTCTAGCAAGGTTTGACAATTTGCAGAATCAAAAAGTCTGGGTATATTATTCCTATCTGCCAAGATCTTTCTGGATTATAACTCAGATTCTGAAGACTTTAATGGAACAAAGTGTTGACCATAATTCAGCTATTTACGGCCTCTCAGTCTTCTTAAGTGCTAATGAAACATCATTGTTCAATGAAGTCTGGCCAAAACCTACCTGCTGTGCACCACGTTCATTACTGAGTGTTCGCAGTTCATCTGAATGGGCCACACAAATTTCATGCAATGCTGCTAAATCACGGGACAGGTCAGTTCTAGAATGTTCTATACTGTCTGGAAGTTCAGGCACATTCTTTAAGGGAATCACAAAACTGCATTTAGAAATACAATCTTTATAGTTTCCTCACTGGTTATAATAGAAGTTTTAACATACTGAAGCCTTTTAAAATCAAATTTGTAACCTCGGTGTTCACATCAAAACCAGGTTCCATTTTTTGTGTAGTAGTACTGCTCTTCTAAATAAATGGGTTTCTTAAACTTTGTCTGTGGAGAGTTTTCCTATTTTTTGATCCACAATGCATGCCAAATAAACAATTAAAAGTACTAATCTGGATTAAATGCAACCTACATTCCTCTTTAATACTGAATTTCATTACTAGGCTGCTATAGTCTGTCCAAATTGATCGGCATCTGCAAGTAGTAAGTACATTAATTACCTGTGGGCTGTGCCCAAAATACCTGATACTGTGTGGTAATTATGGTATTTTCAGACAAGTTTCATGAAGTAAATAACTTAGTCACTATAAATAAATTGGCAGTAAATAAATTGGTAGTACTTTATTAGCACTAAATATTAATGTTTTCAGCCTTGGAATAAAATTTAACATGGGCTCAGATTACTAGTAGTTTTGAGTAAATCCATTCCTTTCTCTAATGGTGACAGTTCTTGATATATAGTCCTAAAAACTGCAAAACACTTCAGTTTTCTGAGCTTTCCTAAGTTCAGCTTCAGTTTCATACGTTTCCTTATAAAACACATTTAGAATACAAATCATTCTTATTGACTCAGTTATTCATTAAATTCATTCAGTGAAAGGATTAGAGATGAAAGACATATTTAACCTTCAGACAGCTTACCATCTAGTAGAGCAACAGAGAAGTAAACTGACCACAGCAACACAGAGTGAGTTATGTATATACATCAAAGATACAGAGGACACTTAGAAAGCAGAACAAAAGAATTTAATTAATTCAGGCTTAGGGCTTAGCAAATTCCCCTGAAGGAGATGTTTTGGGTGAGTCTTGAAGGATAATTTGATTTATACAGTTAGTGAAGTAATAGAGTATGAGGAAACTGGAAGAGGATTAGAGTACTGGGATTTTAAGCAGTCTGAAAGGCGTAACTGGGAAAGTAAGAGAAAGCTGTAGATGCTTGTGATTATAGGAAATAAATAGAGTCCTAACCACGACTCTAAAAACCTACTAATATAAATATTTCTAGGCTGTACATAAAACTAATAGACTTAATACTGGACAGTTCCATACAACTCCTTAAACAAGCATAATAGTAAAATGGCTTTTTTCAATCACTGACTGTATTTTTTGGTAATTAGAAATATTGGTAACTTCAGAACTTCCCAGGAGTTCACACATAGAACATTCAGCATTTGCCCCTTTATTTCTCCATTTCAATATAAATACGGACCTACACTATGAACAATTTCCTATACACTACTTTTTATACCTGAGGATGCAAAACAAACTAGGGGCTCACAGGTAGTCCTAATTGATGTGACCACAAAAAGTGTTGTGGAGATTGTGTTTTTAACTGAATCTGAATGCATTCAGGCAGAACACAGGCCCCTCAATCTCTGCCCTAGCATTCCCTACTGCCATACACCTGCCTAAGTTCATAGATACCTGCCCCTTCTCCAATTTCTATATATATGAACTGAATTAGTTTTAATTGATTCAGTATCTGAAAATCTGTTAACAGTCAAAATTTTGCTAAAAAATCCAGGGTCTTACAAATAATTTTTAAATGTCCCCTATTCTGAAGTTTATGATCACAATTTATAAAAGCCTACATAAGGCATAGGCAATTCCACTGAATGAAGTATAATACCAAATGCATGATTTTATTCCTAGAAAAGCCGCAAGAACACTCATTCTCCAGTCCATTTACTTATTAATAACCTCATCGGAACTGTGGGTCATCCATCTCTGTTTCTGTAGTCAGCAAAATGTCTGGAACAGTTATAAGAGGATAATGAGGGGTAAGAAAAACTTAAAAATCACCCAAGTCCAAAAGCCTCAATAGTGTATGCTCTGTGTCTAAGAATAAATTACTATACCTATAATCAAATGAAAAATTTGAAATAGTTTAGGAAGGCAGCCCAAATTACACAGCTTCTTGTTTTTTTCTGATAAATTTCTAAAGGCTGTTGCTTAAATGAGCTAACTCTCAGCTCTACTAACTATAGGTCTCAGAAAATACTTGAAAAATTATATACGTACCCCAAGTTCATCTAAAAACATGATCATACGATGTTTGTTACTTTTGATGAATGGATTGACACCTTCCATATAGGGCTCCTAAAAATATAAGAATAAAAGCTTACCATCGGCCATCAAAAAGAAACACTGACCTATAACAAAAACCACACATGTAGCAAAAATTATAAATTAATTTCTGTCCATCAGCAGTATACGTTCAGAAGAGTTAATTTAATCATACAATGACAGTATTTTCCTTCTTAAATAAAAAACAGCTACACTGAGGAACTGGAGTATTTTTAATGAAAGAATAAATCCTGAATGAAAACAAAACAGCCAAGCGGACACATACAGCTTAGATGTAATTTTTAAAAACGAATTTATGAGAAACTATTATTTGACAAGCACTGAGACAAACATGGGCCCAGCGCAGAAGTTAGAATCTAGCAGACTACAGGGAATTACACATTGTGATAGGAAAAATATATTACTCATAATTTGCCCCAGGATTTAGATAAATGCCAAAGCTCAGCCATACTACAAACTATTCTTCATACTAAAATCTTAAGCTTATTTAAAAATATGTTACATTATAAAGCAAAAAAAGGTTGGTATTAACACAAGCTCCCTTTAAAATCAGTAAGATGATAAAGACCTCAGTAGTCAATTCCAAAGAATGGACTTTATTCAGTCTAAGAGTAATGAAATAATGAAACACAAAATAACACCATGCCTATTGGATTGACAAATGTAAAGAAAAATAATCATTGAGTTTTGCCAAGGCTGTAGGAACCTTTTTTTTTTTTGAAGGATAACTGACATACAATGTTACATGGTTTCAGGTGTACAACATAGTGATTCAACAATTACATATAGTACAAAATATTGACCATGATTAAGTATATATTTAACCATCTGGTTACTCCAAAGTTAAATAACTGGACAAGTCTGAAAGAAGTATGTATGGATAATTGTTATAGCAGTATTTCCAACAGTGACAAATTGGAAGCCATCTAAATGTCCAATAGAGGACTACTTAGCTACATGATGGCATAGTAAATAATCTCTAATAATAATAAAATATTGTATGTTTCCAAGTACACCAAGAAGTTTGTTACATACTGACAAAAGCAGGTGACATAGTTATGAAAGCAGGTGACATAGTTATGTTCCCTACCATGATACTACAAACAGTCTCCATCCATATTTAGTGAGATCACTTATACGGGTGTTCTAAAAACCCAGATATCTGAGTTTTAATATTTATGGTGAATGTTGGTTGTGAAATAAAATGGACTGAGCTACATTTTAAAACATGCTCACTGACTTTTACATTTAAATTGAGAGACTGAGTATATTGGAGATTATAAAGTAGTTTTTATACTGGCTGCAATGGTGGTTTTTAAAATTCCCTTAACTAAAATGTAAAGTCTAAGTAAAAGATTCAAAAAATAGGAACATACCAACAAAAATATAAATTATGCAAAATCCACTGTTGAAAATTGACTTAAGCTATATATTTCATGGTTTTATCATAACAAAGTTTCATAAATGATGTTTTAAAGTATCAAAATGTTGTTACCTTAGCTCCAAATTCCACAAGATTTGCTAAGTTCTGTACAGACTTAGCAACTAGTATCAGAGTTCTTGCAGCAATAGGAGATGGGGAATCTATAAGAGAATTAGGCATGGCTAATGACAACAACTCCAAAAGTACTTCCAGGTAAACAATTATAAATTTTGTACTTAGTATTTCTTTACTATTAAGTATACTAACATTCTTTCATTCAGAACAGTGTTTTTTGAAAAGTGTATAACCTGTGCAAATTCAAAAGCACTTGGATTAGAGAGAGAAAAATTAAGTACACGTATCAGTGCTTCTAATTTGTGAAAAGAGTACTACAACACAAAGCAATTCCCAATGGGTTAATACTTCAAAATACCTCAAAGCTTTATCTTTATCACTAAAAATACTGTCACTGCACACATCCTTCAGGACAATTCACAAAGCTAATTTCAAGCCACTTCGGTTAGCAATTTGCAATCTAAGCAATTCCCTGCTTCCAGCCTCCATTAGCTACAAATATTTCACTTTAAAGATCAATAACATAGATAGTCTGGGACCTCTGCTTTATTTTGTGGAGGAAACATTCAAGTTAATAAATACTTTAGAGATTAGTCAGGAAACATTTCCCTATAGCATATAAATAGGATGAAAATGAAAAGCATCTATGGCCATTAAATAGAAGCCCTTAAAAGTAGGATAGTAATTTAACAGTAAAAACCTATAGGTGATCCTACCTAATTTTAGACTGTACTCTTTGTATCTTAAGCTGCTGAACTATATAGTATTGCCTAGTGTTTCAGAGGCCAACATTCATATAAATAAATCTCTCCAGAAGAATTTTAAAGACTTAGTTCTTAATAGGCCTATAGATTTAATCATTTTTGTAGCAACAGAAGATAGAGATGTGATGACTATAAAGGTAAAACTTAATATATTCTAAAATATTTTTAATACAACTTTGAGTTTAAAATTATTAAGATAAAAATGGTTTGGGTTCCTTCTGTTAATAATGGCTCATTATTACATTAACAGTCACAACAAAATCACTCATCTTTTCTTTGAAAGAAGCCTACATGTGTTCCTTAAGGGACACATGGGTAATAAGCAAAACAACACCTTGTTTGAGTTTAAAATGCACTATTAACATTATATAACTAGTGATGGGAAATCTTTAACTGCAAAAGGGCCTTTTCCTTCATAAGGATTCATGAAGCACTGCCACAACTGTAGCTATAACTTTAATTCGATCTTAAAATCCAGCCTGCAGTGGTAGTGATAGGGTCTAGTATGTGCTTAAAAGCACAGAGGAAGCTCCTCTTCCCAACCTGAAAATGCCAAGTTGCAAAATGGGAAAAGTCATCAAAATACAAGTTTTGAGACACAGGGATGGAAAAAAAAAGTGTTGTGTGTCTAATCATGCATCTCAGGCTTCAAATATAAGAAAGAGACAAAGAGAGAGAATGGAAAAAAAAGGTAAA